AACTGTGATTGGGCAGATTGAACCACTGTCAATGGGGTACTTTGAACCATGGTTCAATGTAGCCCAGTGTATTATAGACTATATATCATTTGATAATTTGCTCAGCCTAGGAAATTATTGTACTTACAATCAGTTCATATTTGCAATCCAGATAAACAAGGGCTTGATCCATTTTGGATTTTTTCAAAATTTGATCATAAAACTGTGATGTGACAGATTGAATTGAACCACTGTCAATGAGGTACGTTAAACCACTGATTCAATGTACCCCATTGCATTATAGTTTATATATAAACTTTGAAAATAAAAACAATATTAGAAGATCAATTGACCCAACTCTGTAGGCCTGTCATATAAACGGAATTAAAACTTCATGGGAGCAGTGTTCGAAACATGGCTGTGACATACAGGGGCGCAATGGGCCTCCCTGACTAAGAGTCGCTTGTCAGCAAATCAGGCTGTCCAAATTTAGACAGAATATTGGACAAATTTTGGTTTGTTTCACTGCAAAAGTTGACTGGGATCCCATTATCACCCCAAACTGCCAACTTAAGTGCAATTTATGGCGATTTGTAGGCGCCTAGGGAATCCGGACTCCTGTGGAGATTTGTTCTTAACTAAACACTGATTGTTTGCAGATTCATTAGATCACTACGAAACAAGTGACTAGGTTTGTGATCCAAATTCACATCTATGTTTAACATGGAATTTTTACCACTGTTCAACGTGCCCCATTATGTGGTTGAACCTGCCCCGACTATTTTGTACAGCGGGGTACATTGAACAATTACAGTCAAGTGGATTAAAATGTGATATACAATAGCAACTATGATATGTCTTCAAACAATACAATAAAGTAAAGAGATCTTCTAATAAAAACATTTTATTTCTAAGGAGGACAACCATGTATGTGGAAAAAAATGGTTCAATGTGCCCCGCTCTCCCCTACATTTGATAAAGATCATAAATATATTACACTGACACTGTAAGCCTATGATGGTAGGGAGCCACGGTTGCCAAGTGGGTAAAGCGCTGGCTCGCTAGCCTGGAGGAAGCGGCTCTCTAGTCGTTCGAATGGTACGAAAACCCGAGGTCCCGTGTCTGGCATGTACGTAAAAGATCCCTTGGGCCTTGATGTCAACTAGTTCCATCTCCATCATTATGTACGGAACTACTGTGTACGATCATTCAAAATAAAAATAGGGTTTCAACAAAACATTAGGCCTAAGCTGTCTTAAATTGCCTAACAATCAATACATTTTTAACAGATTAAGAATTTCATTCTGGGACAATATTCTGAGGGCCGTACGGCGAGTTTTCTGCTCTAGAAATACAGCCATGCTGGTGTCTCTTTTTTGTTAAAAGACCACATGACACCAGACCCAGGAATTATATTGGTGAAAGTGGACATAGAACTCTGTGAGGGGGAATGGATTGAAATTTAAACAAAAGCCTATGTGGTTTTTTTTGGCAATTTAACCTAGAGGGCGCCTCTAAATTAAATCTTGCTCAAAGTACATAGCACCTGTTGATTCAAAGATAGTTTTTATGAAATATCTCATTTTTAGTGAAACGTGGACATAGAACCAGTTAATCCTCAGCCCACGACTTATAGATGACTAGAGCGATAGTGATAGGGATTTCAGAAGATATCACATTTGTTTTATTACATGGCGGGAAGCGGATTGTTGAAAGCCTCAAATGGGGCCACATTCTTTAAAATCACCGCATTGATGTAGCATGCCACCCCAATAGTTGCAGGAGAGGTTTTTTATGAGGTGCAGAAAACGATTTGCAGCTGTTATTGACCTTATCTCATATTCATCCGTTTAACATCACCAATTAAAAATAGGTCCAGTATTGCCTTCAACTATGAACACACTCTAAAAGTCCTATACGTTCCCCTCACCCACGTCTCTTTTTTGTTTTACAAATAATTTCAGAATCAATAAAATGGTATCAATGATGTTTGATACCACTGAAAAATAATACATCTAAAATTGATTAAACCACATAGGGTAGTAATGAGAAATATTACATTTTGAATCCGTGTCAATGATAACGTACATTTACTCAAAATGTTTCTTCCAATGGATCATCATTTAACTTGAAAACAAGGGAAGCAGTCAGTCGATCGAAGAAAAAAGACTTTTTTTTAAAAAAAAAAACAACACTTTTCAATATGACAGTAGTGGTTCGGTCATGCATTTACGTCAGAGGGTGTCATCCGTTCTTTGAAAGTAATGATTGGGCCAAATTTGAACAAAGTCCATCTAGATATGCGGCCTGTAGGTAGAGTGTTGACAGATAAAAAGTAAAAAAACAGACCTATAAAAATATATTTTCTAAAACTGGAGGAATTTTAATTGTTTCTTTCTTTATTACCATCTTGCCTGGGTAGTCTTTTGCTGCACATTAAATGATCGAACAAGATCACCTTGAGATACAATACAAGGCTGGAATGAAGATTTACTATGCGAATGGGTATCTGAAGCATATTCAAAGGATATATGCGAGCTATTGATCACCCATAAAGAAGATATTTATCCCCCTTATAATATGACTTTTGATTTTGAATCTTCTGATGAAGAATATTAGAATAAACTAACATCTAAACATGTCTCTTGTTTACTGTTTTTTCCAGATCTTTTGAAAAGTACTGTTATAATCAATCTGATTAAAATACAGATCTATATTTCGTTTCGTTTTTTATACTTTCGATGGAATACATTACATGAATATCTGACCGGTTGTAGTGGGGGTGGCGTCAGAGGTCATACAATCGGTTTTTTACCCTATGACGTCAGACATTGATTAATCAACCAGCGTTGGCAAGAATTAGCCGTAACAGACCGTTTCATTGGCTAATCCTCCACATTAACCAGAACGCGGCTTATATAACAACTCTTCCAGATCCTAGTATTATGAAGACGAAATTTTGAACTACATCTGTGTTTTAATCAGATTGCATTATAATTTAATATTTTGAATGACGAAACTGGTACTTAACGAAAAAAAGCTAACGAAAAGCCACTTTTCAGGTCAATTTTGAATTAAGTGGTTTCTGTCCCCAAAAATACATTTTACCCCCAATACAATGGGAATCTGATACACATATTTAGAGATGTGCAGCGAAATTAAAAAGTAATGTTTTTATCAAGCTCTAAGAAAATCATCATTTAAATCAACGTGAACACATTTCCCGCCCTCCCCCTTACACACACGCACACCTGCAACCACCTACCCCACCTCGCCACAAATGAAAACAGTTGAACAGGGGCATCATAAACACCTAGTAATATATGTTTTATTAATATTAAACATGATCATTTGTGTCAACATGATCACATTTTCCCCCAATTGTAGACATTGGACCCACATATCTCGAAAACGCCCCCCCCCCCCCCTCAAACGCTTGATCACCAAGCAGATTTGGAATCTAAGTACAACTTCGTCTCATAAATTCACAGCTCAGGTGGCGATTCCCCTCCTTCAGCCACCGGACTAATAGTTATAAGATAGTATAAGAATGGAGACATTATGGACTCGAGCGTCATAGATGCAACAACTGTTTAGATAGCGACTTATAATAACTGAGCTTTTAATTTTTTGGGACAGGCCTGGGGTGACTTGTCTCTCGAGGATGCTTACTTGATGTCATGGAAATAATGGATGTAGCAGTTTCATTTTATTCAACTGTATGGGAAGCCCACGGTGTAATAATTTTTGTTTTGGAAGTTTACATGCCAAATGACATTCCATTTATGGCTTAGTTTTAAATATGAGATAGTATTGTTCTTTTATGTTAATGGGTTTTTTTATGTATCATATTGTACAACAAGTTAAATTTGAGCAATTATGAATCTTAAATTTACAAATACTTTTTTTCGGGTGATTTGAAGTACCAATCTAAGGGGGAATAGGTTTCTACAAAAAGTATAAACGGTTCCTATAAAAAGGTATAAAAGGTTTAGATTTTTCTTGTACATTAGTTAGGCAAATGTCAGCCATCTTTGATTTACCAGATTTTACCGCTTTGAGGCAACCTCCGAGCTAGCTCATTAGTTCAGGTCTCTATTGACTGAATAATCCCGGCTCTATTGTTTTCTGGATTTTCATAAATCGTGCTGTTTACTTGATAGGAACCGGTCCAACACGACCTAATTGTGCACTTTTAAATACGTTTACCAACAGCAGAGAGCAGAAAATTTCCACAATAATATTAATATGTACCAGAATTTGGCGATCTTGTTTCGTAATGCTTAGCAATGATGTCCAGAATATTAATTAACTACAATTTTAACTCACAGACTTCGCCTATTCATACCCACACGTTGTCTTTGTACGTGTGTTTACAAAATAACAAAAAAAAAGTTTCCCGAATAACCAAAATATTTCTAACGAAATCTTCATCAGATTCCACTGACACTTATTTTCTGTTATCCGTTATTATTATTTTATTATCTATTTTATCTATACACTATTATTGGGTAAATTTACATGATTTACATTATTATTTTCAAATACGGATTGGTACGGTAATACGTACGTTGCAATCCCTGAGTGACATTTAGACGGTTAAACAAAACAAAAAGCGTTAGATGCCTCGCCGAATGTCTGTTAATAAAAATGAATTGTCTTTAAGACAGACTATTTACAAGAAAGGGATAATGTCGGAATGAAATGAAAAGAAAGTAATGTAAACTTTAGATTGATCGATCTTAATAAGTGTCGATCTAATATACTTTTTCTATAATACTACTATGAATGTCTATTGTCTGATATTTTATTATAACTGTTATTATGAAATATTGGGCCTTTACGAAATGCAAAAACAGATACAGCAGTTTCGGGCCCATTTATTTTTTTTAACTCTAACGTTGACGTTGCCCTATGATATTGTGAGAGTGTAGACACGAGATCGATTCAGTTTAGCAGTATAACTGCAAATATGCGTTTGGCAGTTTCAAAACATTAAATAATATTTTATTCATACTCACTTTCACATGTTGTCCCCGTGAACCCTTCTGAGCAGTCGCAGGTAAACCCATTATCTGTTTGCCTACATGTTCCCGAATTCCGACAAGGACCCGAGTCACATGGATTAACACTAACAGGAGCTGTAAACAGAAATATAGTTTTTAATATTATGCATGTGTATAAACTGTCATAATAGTTGTAAAAATAACTTGGATAAGAGATAACTACTATCATTCAATATAAATAATATACATTTTTAATTTACAAGGATTTTCATTTACATGGTTTAACTTACGTAACTGGAGCTGTAAAAATAAATATAGATTTTATATTGTTCGTGTATTTAAACTCTCATAATAGTTTTTCAGAAATGTAAAAATAACTTGGATAATCACTAGCCTTCAATATATTGTTTTTCGACGTTCTATTTACATAGATGTAAACATTTATAAGAGATTATTTCTAAATTAACGAGAATATATTTTTGCTAGAAACAAGAAATTGTAGACGTATTTTGTACGGATAGCATGTAGATAAATTAAAATGCAAACCCTAACCCTAGCTTCTGTCAATTATGAGCTGTCAATGACATATAGAGGTTTGGTGTTGCCCGGGGCCATCCCCTTGGTCGTTTTCAACTAAGACTATAGAAAACGACAAAGTACTTTAAATAAAGTACAGATTTTCCGGCGTGGTTCCCCCTTGTCAGTGATGCAGGACGGAGGGCCTGACAAGGATAGCTGTCTAGTCATTCGGATGAGACGAAAAACCGAGGTCCCGTGTACACATTGGCGTGCACGTAAAAGATCCCTTGACAGTTGGAATTCGATATAAGAGTAGGCCGTAGTGCCGCTGTCCGGGCAAAATTACCCTCATAGCACACTGTGTGGCGTATGCCCGTCTTCATTAGCCCAGTCCGGAGCAAAACAGTAGGACGTTAAACCCCATTTCATTTCATTTAAATCAAGTAGGTCAGTACGTACACCAGAGATAAAATCGAGCATTTCAAACTAAAAAATAAACTATGTTTTAATTTCACCCTTTGTTTGGATTCAACCCCATAATGGATGCCCGGGGGTGTCGCTCCCTCTGCCCCACTGCGGGCTGCAAACCTTGGACGTGCACCTTGTTTCTTTATTTAATAGTGGTATCTCATGTGTACAGTCACATTAAAGGACACATAGGGAATTATATTGTGGTCAGCTATGTCAGTCGTCTGTTAACGTAATGCAAGCCAGCGATCTTGAAACATTAGAATTCTAATTTTTCTTTATTCACATAGAGACAAATGAAAATAAGCAGTGGTTTATCAGGCCTTTAAATTACGGAATAATATTTTAAAATAATATTGTTTATATTAATAAAACACTTATGAAGCTGTGTTGCTTTAACAAAGTCTTTTTTAAGCCTACAGATTAGAAACCCAATTTCGCACAACTGTTTTTAAGGCCAGATGGAAATCGTCATAAATGTCAAGTAAATGCTATGGTTATAGCCCAAATTCCGAACTTCATATATAATTACATATTAGAGAAAATGCCTTCATTTCTTGACAAAAAAAGTGTATTGGTTACATTTGGATTTAAACAACAATACCCACAACATGGGAAGGCAATGAATTTTGGAAATCCATTAACAGTACAAGGAGTTTCTCCTTTATCTCAGCAATTATTGATAACAGAATCTACTTTAAACAATATGTCAATCAATAAAATGAATAAGATTGAACAGCGCACAAGGGCCTAGAACAATAGTCTCCTTTTTTCAGATAGGATTTGGGGCTAAAGTTCTCATAACAAAAATTGAATAATACTGAAAGGAAGTGTCAATTGTATTGAATACAACAGATATCAATTGGAGTGTAATGTCGTATTGTTACGCACAAACCGGGTAATGAAGGCAAGCATACGGCATGCATTATGCTAATGGGAGAAATTTGGACATATTTCGAATTCTAACCGTCAAGATTTCTGTTAAGTGCACTCTAACGTGTGGACGGTACCTTGGTTTTACGCCCCATTCGGTCGCTACCCTTGCAAAGCCCCCCGTCTTGCACCACTGACACGGTCATATAGTCAGTGCCTTACTCACTGGGTCACCGCGGCTCCTTTGCACTTGCATGGAAACAGGAATATAAGTTGTACATGTATAATTATTTAAGGGAGCTGCAGCGCCTAAGTGAATAACATTCTGGCTCACTAACCATGATATCTCGGTTCGCTTCTGGTGTTGGCCGAAACAATTCCGTGGGAATATTCCGGCGCGATTCATCTTTGAGGTTCAAATCACCCGCCAATTCACTAGGCCGCATAACATCGCGGTTATTTCGGCCTCGCCCGAGTAAGCCGTTTAAATGACGTCATCGGTAACCAGAATACACCCGTGAAGGCTCAGTAGTGCGGCGCTACTAATCGAACGCACCCCTCATAACACTGCGAAATAATAAATTAATTGCACCCGTTTGTGTCCCGTTTATGATTGAAATTAATCGGAAATAGTTTAAAATTTTCTCATCTATTCTATACTGATCCGAAATTGTAGTTAGGTGGAACATGTAGCAAAATATTTACGCTAGAAATTCTGGCTGCGTGCCTATTTCTTTAGCAGCGCTATTTACCAGTAGATTCATTTTATTTACATCTTTGACTTCGTGGGATGTAAATATACACGATGTTATAGAATACCAACTTGTATGTAGACATCAGGCGCGGATTTAAGGGGGCGCCAAGTAAGGGCCCCTACGGTTCACACAATCATTAACAAGTATGTCATGACCTTTATGTCAACTTGCATACAACTGCTTTGCGTCGAGATAACGATCGGCGCGAACAAGTATATAGGCAATACGAGCTGTGTTCTACTGGGGCGCTCAGTGTTCTTTTATGCATTGAACAATATCCTTCCCCCACCCCCTTGCATTTCACAGCTTCTAGATTTACTGGAAAATTATAAATTTATTTCTATAAGGGTTACATCAGATGTTTCTTGTCAACATAAGTCAGGGAACAACAATTGCAAACCATACGAAATTATATGAAATCGAGAAAGTTTGGACGGACTGTGGCACTACTCGCTACACTTATTTCAAATTCCAACTGTCAAGGGTTCTTAATGCTACAAGTTTATGAAAGTCACAAAGAAATATTTTAAAATATGAAAGGCCTGAATGGGTTGTAAATAGCTCAATTTTACACCGTTTTTCACATTTAAATCGAAATGGCGCAAAAATGAAATCGAAATTAAAAAAACGGCTTCCGACATTTTTTACGCCTTTACATGGCGCAACTTCTTACTTTTTACTTATTTTTAAAAAAATAATATTTACTTTCGAAAAGACGTTCCTAACCGCCAAAATTGTAGTTTTGGTCAAAATTACGTCATTTCCGCTGCTGACAGAAAACTTTATCGGTAATAAAAAAAAGTTGAGACTTTGCACCATTGAGCATATGAACTTTGTTTTATACAAATCGAGCAATAAATAATTAACCTAGAACCCATAAACTGAATTAGCCAATAGCGGCCAAGGTGAATTATCGATACAAAAATTTTTCATATTTTTGCTCAAATTACATGACCCTTTAATTATAGGTAAAGCGCTATAAAAAATATTAATAAATAAACAAGTCTTTTGTCAAAATTAAAATTTTCAAAATTTGGCGCCTAATATCTTCGAAGATTAATCGAAAACCAAAAATCTAAACAATCGTAGCTATTTGCCGTGTCTCAGGCTATGTCAAAATGTATCAAATGTTAAAATCCGACAATTATTGTTAATATTACGGCAATATTTCAAAAAACGAAAACTTCGGTGATTTCGGACATTTCGCATTGTCACAGAAAGTTCGAAATAGCTTAATTGTCTAAGTCACACCCACTTTCCCAGTAAAACCGAAGACATCGCGTTGATCCGACAAATAGTTTCTGAGATATACTCAAGTGGAAAAAAAAAATAATAATAAGAATAATAATAATCTTAACAAAAACAATAGTGTTTCACACAAGCTACGCAGTGTGAAACCCTAATAATAATCCGAACGAAAAAAATAGTGTTTCACACTGGCTACGCAGTGTGAAACCCTAATAAGAACTAGAACTGCGAAGCAGTAATGACGGGTTTCACCGGTGCCACGTTACCCTTGAACTTATGTCACTCCCGGTGCCACGTTATCCTTGAACTTATGTCACTTCCCGTATCAATGAAACCGTTAAACAGATTTCCACATAAGCATTGCACAAATAGATGCAGAATCAAGCAAATCTAGCAATATCAATTGCATCTATACATATGTTACGATGTGTTACATATGTCAAAAAAGTGATCCTGACAAAATTTGTTACTAATTATCGATAAGTTAGCTAACTTTATAATAGGAAATTAAAATGGGAAAAAAATCTGTAAAAGTCATCCTGACAAAATTGGTTATTTCTGAACAAGGGAAGATGCTAGAAGCTATTTTTGGACATCTATATGATCATATTGATCCAATTTATATGTCCATTGGAATCAAATATCATAATGCTAAACCAATAATAAATATAACTCACTTCAAAATTTGAAAGCTAAAAATACAGTTTTTGTCCAAATGACATTACTTCCGGTGATAATGAAAATGTTAAATTAGTTCTATGAAATCATGGCATAAGGCGTCACATGGTGAAAATTGTATGAAAATCGAATAATAATTTACACTTTTATAGACCAAAAACCTTGAAAAGTAACTTGAAGAAAATCGTCTATTTCTCTGCAACCGTACAAGTTAGAAACGTTTATATGGTATCTGTATGATCGTATGGGTTCATTCTATTTGTTTTTTTTGGAATCAAATATCACAATTTTAAAAACATTACAGATCAGACTCATTTGAATAAAATATCTGATTTGAAGGCTAAAAATACAGTTTTTGACCAAATGACGTCATTTCCGGTGATAGAAAGATGTTGTATTGGCTTGACCTAGTCTAAATTGGCATAAGGCATCAAATGGTAAAAACAAATTGAAAATCGAATGATACTTGACTCTTTTACAGGCAAAATAATTTAAAACATGACACATGCAAAAATTGCCTATTTCTCGGCAACCGCTCACATTACAAACTAATTTTGACATACATTCTCTTCGTATGGATTATTGCTAAATATACAAGCATGCTCAATCGGATATTATTATTTTCAGGTATATTATCACCATTGGTCGAAAACGTCAGAACGAGTGAAATAGCGACGATTCTCGAGTGAGAAAACGGTCTGTCATTTTTCGTTACCGCCGCCAAAATGCCCTAAATTGAACAACGAGTCGGATTGTAGGAATCTCTTACAAATGAAATTTCTATCATTCTATCAGGGATTCGGATTCCGATACAGTTACGGTACCTGACCAGCGCTGCCAGGCAGGATACGCCCACATTTTCGAGAGATGGATAGAGAATAAGCTAACAAGAAAGTGATTTTTCCTACAATCAAGGGCCATAAATCAGGAAATTACAATTCGATATGCGCGAATATCGAAAGGAACTGAGATCTTTGTGTTATAAACTTATATTTCAAGTTTCAACAAAATTGGATAAAAATTGTGACCTCTATAGGGTCCACAACCTTGATATACCATATTTTTACGTTATTTGAGAACGAACGGCGGCCATTTCGTCTGTCAATTTTGGGTCGATTTTCACGAAATACGAACTTAGTCGTCCTTAGGGTAACGGTGATATAATAATACGGTTTTTTAAATCGGATAAAAATTATGACCTCTATAGAGTCCACAAGCTAAAAACGCGATTTTTCGTACAATCAGGGGCCATAATTCAGGAAGTTACTGTCCGATATGCGCGAATATCGAAAGGAACCGAGATCTTTGGGTAACACAAAGTTAAGTGGTAAGGGTTTTCAAATCTTAGCTTTATAAACGGGCCATAATTTAAAAATAAAATAATAACATGATTGGTGCCACCTCACACTTTAAGACACAACATCACATATTTATATTTCACATTTCTATTTCATATTACATAAATGTCATTACAAATACACATTTTACATCAATATATTTCAAAATGTTGTAATCCGATGTAGTAATTTGTCAAAATTGGACAGTTTCTTGTTAATGTCACAGGCCTTGGGCGACTTTGTCTCTTGGGGGTGCTTACTTAATGTCATGGAAATAATGGATGTGACTGTTTCATTTTATTCAACTGTATGGGAAGCCCACGGTGAAATAATTTTTGTTTTGGAAGTTTACATGCCAAATGGCATTCCATTTATGACTTAGTTTTAAATATGAGATAGTATTGTTCTTTTATGTTAATGGATTTTTTTTTATGTATCATATTGTACAACAAGTTAAATTTGAGCAATTATGAATCTTAAGTTTACAAACACTTTTTTCCGGGTGATTTGAAGTAACAATCTAAGGGGGAATAGGTTTCTACAAAAAGTATAAAAGGTTCCTATAAAAAGGTATAAAAGGTTTAGATTTTTCTTGTACATTAGTTAGGCAAATGTCAGCCATCTTTGATTTACCAGATTTTACCGCTTTAAGGCAACCTCCGAGCTAGCTGATTAGTTCAGGTCTCTATTGACTGAATAATCCCGGCTCTATTGTTTTCTGGATTTTCAGAAATGGTGCGGTTTACTTGATAGGAACCGGTCCAACACGACCTAATTGTGCACGTTTAAATACGTTTACCAACAGCAGAGAGCAGAAAATTTCCACAATAATATTAATATTTACCAGAATTTGGCGATCTTGTTGCGTAATGCTTAGCAATGATGTCCAGAATATTAATAAACTATAATTTTATATCCCTACTTGCCATTTACTCCATACATGTATGTTAACTCACAGACTTCGCCTATTCATACCCACACGTTGTCTTTGTACGTGTGTTTACAAAATAACAAAAAAAAAAAGTTTCCCGAATAACCAAAATATTTCTAACGAAATTTTCATCAGATTCCACTGACATTTCTTTTCTGTTATCCGTTATTGTTATTTTATTATCTATTTTATCTATAAGCTATTATTGGGTAAATTTTTATCGTAATCTTGATTTACATTATTTTCATGCTTCACTTAAATAGTCCATTATAATTTTCAAATACGGATTGGTACGGTAATACGTACGGTGCAATCCCTGAGTGACATTTAGACGGTTAAACAAAACAAAAAGCGTTAGATGCCTCGATGTCTGTCAATAAAAATGAATTGTCGTTAAGACAGACTATTTACAAGAAAGGGAAAATGTCGGAATGAAATGAACAGAAAGTAATGTAAACTTTAGATTGATCGATCTTAATAAGTGTCGATCTAATATACTTTTTCTATAATACTACTATGAATGACTATTGTCTGATATTTTGTAATAACTGTTATTATGAAATATTGGGCCTTTACGAAATGCAAAAACAGCTACAGCAGTTTCGGGCCCATTGACGTTGCCCTATGATATTGTGAGAGTGTAGACACGAGATCGATTCAGTTTAGCAGTATAACTGCAAATATGCGTTTGGCAGTTTCAAGACATTAAATAATATTTTATTCATACTCACTTTCACATGTTGTCCCCGTGAACCCGTCTGAGCAGGCGCACTCAAACTCAGTATCTGTTTGGCTACATGTTCCAGAATTCTGACAAGGACCCGAGTCACATGGATTAAAAGGAGCTGTAAACAGAAATATAGTTTTTAATATTATGCATGTGTATAAACTGTCATAATAGTTGCAAAAATAACTTGGATAAGAGCTAACTACTATCACTCAATATAAAAATACATTTTTAATTTACAAGGATTTTGTTTACATGGATTAACGGGCCATACTATATACCGGAAAACACAGGAAAACACCGGAAAACAACCGGAAAACACCCGGAAAACCGGAAAACACCGGAAAAACACTAAATACCGGAAAACATCCTAAATACCGGAAAACACCCTAAATAGGTAACCCGGAGCCTGGTCCTCTGTGTGCGGTTTTGGACCAAGTGAGCGCCGATGAAGGAAGGTCAAGGTCATTACGATGTTCGTTTTACAAATAGCCCCCCCCCCCCCAAAAAAAAAAAAAAAAAATTCCGATTTTTTTTTCTCCAAAATTTTGTTGATGCCTATTATGTTTTGAATGTTTTAAAAGACGCAATCAGTCTACCTCCATCATTGACCATATTTTATTTTGTATTTTAATTTTAGTTTTCAGTAAATTTTAGTAGATTTCAGTGTTTCGGTATTTCAGTAGATTAAACACAGCCCTCTGAGGGCCCCGTTATATGCCTGTTGCGCCGGTCTCCTGATTCTTACCAGTAACGCTGGCATCAGGGTGGTACGAATTAGTGGAAGGCACGATTAGGCCAACTCCTCCCTAGGTAACAAAAAATCGCATCATAAAACAGCAAGTATCATCAAAAGCGAGTTAATAAATCTCTGAATAGTTCGAGTTGAAGTTCCAGGTTTAACCACTATGTGTCCTAATCACCAAACGAAATGGATGCCACGCAATTCTCGGACAGGCTGTAATCTGAAAAGTGTCTATCCTTTCCAAGAGCTATCCATCTCGTTGGAAGGGCTAAAAATCTACTTGTTTCTGAGCTTACTTTCATTCCAGGGTCAAATATAATCACTTGAACCATAATAATATTCAACATATTCCATCATAATCCGAGGGCTGCACACAGGATTTTTTTTTCTGGATTACTTTTCGAGCTTTATTCCCCAACTCGTTGACCAGTTTTCCTTGAGAAAACCCCAACTTTCGCCCAATTGTCCATGAGGAAACTACATATTCTATCTTACTGCATTGACGGGAAGTGGTAAGCTGGACGTCTGTGAAAAGGGTTGATCCATAAATTTTCAGGGAAGCAATTGTTGTTTTTGTTTGTGAAATAGAGGACTCTAGCCGATGAGGCTACTTTCCCCCCGAGAACCTCAGGCAACCAATTTGTTTTATGTACTACTATCGTAATAAACATTACTATATTAACCACTTCCTGGTGGCTGAAGACTTACACCGAATGCGTAATCGGGAAAAAATGTCCCCGAGAAAATGTTTTTTCCGACAATCGATATTCGAGATGTCTTCTGTTGCACAAATTATGCTACACTGTGTAAGAACTTGCATCCTTTGATCTGAAGATTGTAGATGGAAAAGTATCATTTGCACTATTTCAAAGTAAACCTGCATTTTCGTATATCATCCCGTAATTTGTGATTAATGACAATGACTGTGGAAAAATATTGGTTGAGGAATGGAAGATCTATGTTCGTCACGTGACTGGACAATTCCACCCCCCGTCCCACCCTGACGATGATCCCTCCGCTCTCTAAAAAAAATCTCGGGCACAGTTTACTCTTCTAAGTTTTCCGGTAGGTATTTAGTAATGCGGAGTTTGGTTCTCGTGTGTGGTTTTGGACCAGGTGAGCGCTGATGAAATAAGTTCATTAACATACAAGCGAGTGATCGCCTACGGTCAAAGAAAAATTTCTTTTCAGATTTTTTTAAAGAATTTCTTCTCCCAAATTTCTCTTCAAAAAAAATTCAAATTTTGTTTCCAGTATTTTTCTCTGTAAAATTATTTCCTACGGAATGTTTTTTTGTAAAACCAATTTTTCGGAAAAATTCTATTTTTTGGGGGGGGCAGAAAATTTTTTTCGTCAAAAAAATTTGGGAGAAAAAAAAATCGGATTTTTTTTAATTTTTTTTATTTTTTTTTTGGGGGGGGGGGGGGCTATTTGTAAATCGAACATGACCTTGACCTTCCTTCATCAGCGCTCACTGGGTCCAAAACCGCACACAGAGGACCAGGCTCCGGGTTACCTATTTAGGGTGTTTTCCGGTATTTAGGATGTTTTCCGGTATTTAGTGTTTTTCTGGTGTTTTCCGGTATTCAGTATAAAATGGTGTTTTCCGGTTGTTTTCCGGTTGTTTTCCGGTGTTTTCCTGTGTTTTCCGGTATATAGTATTGCCGTGGATTAACTAGCGTAACTGGAGATGTAAAAATAAATATAGATTTTATATTGTTCATGTATTTAAACTCTCATACTAGTTTTTCAGAAATGTAAAAATCACTTTGATAATCACTAGCCTTCAATATATTGTTTTTCGACGTTCTATTTACATAGATGTAAACATTTATAAGAGATTATTTCTAAATTAACGAGAATATATTTTTGCTAGAAACAAGAAATTGTAGACGTATTTTGTACGGATAGCATGTAGATAAATTAAAATGCAAGTATGGTGCTTCTGTCAATTATGAGCTGTCAATGGCATATAGAGGTTTGGTGTTGCCCGGTGCCATCCCCTTGATCGTATTCCACTAAGACTATAGAAAACGACAAAGTACTTTAAATCAAGTAGGTCAATACGTACACTAGAGATAAAAGCGAGCATTTCAAACTAAAAAATAAACTATGTTTTAATTTCACCCTTTGTTTGGATTCAACCCCATAATGGATGACCGGGGGTGTCGCCCCCTCTGCCCCACTTCGGGCTCCAAACCTTGGACGTGCACCTTGTTTCTTTATTTAATAGTGGTATCTCATGTGTACAGTCACATTAAAGGGCACATAGGGAATTATATTGTGGTCAGCTGTGTCAGTCGTCTGTTAACGTAATGCAAGCCAGCGATCTTGAAACATTAGAATTCTAGGTTTTCTTTATTCACATAGAGACAAATGAAAATAAGCAGTGGTTTATCAGACCTTTAAAATACGGAATTATATTTTAAAATAATATTGTTTGTATTAATAAAACACTTATGAAGCTGTGTTGCTTTAACAATGCCTTTTTTAAGCCTACAGATTAGAAACCCAATTTCGCACAACTGCTTTTAAGGCCAGATGAAAATCGTCATAAATGTCAAGTAAATGCTATGGTTATAGCCCAAATTCCGAACTTCACATATAATTACATATTAGAGAAAATGCCTTCATTTCTTGACAAAAAAGTGTATTGGTTACATTTTGATTTAAACAACAATACCCACAACATGGGAAGTCAAGGAATTATGGAAATCCATTAACAGTACAAGGAGTTTCTCCTTTATGTCAGCAATTATTGATAACAGTATTTACTTTAAACAATATGTCAATCAATAAAATGAATAAGATTGAACAGCGCACAAGGGCCTAGAACAATAGTCTCCCCAAACATTATTTCTACGCATATAGCTGTGCACCTTTTTTCAGATAAGATTTGGGGCTAAAGTTCTCATAACAAAAATTGAATAATACTGAAAGGGAGAGTCAATTGTATTGAATACAACAGATATTACGCACAAACCGGGTAATGAAGGCAAGCATACGGCATGCATTATGCTAATGGGAGAAATTTGGACATATTTCGAATTCTAACTGTCAAGATTTCTGTTAAGTGCACTCTTACGTGTGGACGGTACCTTGGTTTTACGCCCCATTCGGTCGCTACCCTTGCAAAGCCCCCCGTCTTGCACCACCGACACGGTCATATAGTCAGTGCCTTACACACTGGGTCACCGCGGCTCCTTTGCACTTGCATGGAAACAGGAATATAAGTTGTACATGTATAATTATTTAAGGGAGCTGCAGTGCCTAAGTGAATAACATTCTGGCTCACTAACCATGATATCTCGGGTCGCTTCTGGTGTTGGCCGAAACAATTCCGTGGGAATATTCCGGCGCGATTCATCTTTGAGGATCAAATCACCCGCCAATTCACTAGTCCGCATAACATCGCGGTTATTTCGGCCTCGCCCGAGTAAGCCGTTTAAATGACGTCATCGGTCACCAGAATACACCCGTGAAGGCTCAGTAGTGCGGCGCTACTAATCGAACGCACCCCTTATAACACTGCGAAATAATTAAAATTGCACCGGTTTGTTCCCCGATTATGATTGAAATTAATCGGAAATAGTTTAAAATTTTCTCATCTATTTTATACTGATCCGAAATTGTAGTTAGGAGGAACATGTAGCAAAATATTTACGCTAGAAATTCTGGCTGCGTGCCTATTTCTTTGGCAGCGCTAGTTACCAGTAGATTCATTTTATTTGTACATCTTTGAATTCGTGGGATGTAAATATACACTATGTTGTAGAATACCAACGTGTATGTAGACATCAGGCGCGGATTTAAGGGGGGCGCCAAGTAAGGGCCCCTAAGGTTCACAAAATCATTAACAAGTATGTCATGAACTTTATGTCAACTTGCATACAACTGCTTTCCGTCGAGATAATGATCGGTGCGAACAAGTATATAGGCAATACGAGCTGTGTTCTACTGGGGCGTTCAGTGTTCTTTTATGCATTGAACAATATCCTTCTCCCCACCCCTTTGCATTTCACAGCTTCTAGATTTACTGGAAAATTACAAGTTTATTTCTAAGGGTTACATCAGATGTTTCTTGTCAACATAAGTCAGGGAACAACAATGGCAAACCATACGAAATTATATGAAATGGGTAAAGTTTGGACGGACTGCAGAAGAGTTAGTTTTACGGTTTGGTATAAATTGGCGGACAAACTATGAAATCGCTCCGCCAAGATTAAACTTAATTAATTTGTGAAAACTACTTTTTTGTAAACGTATTTATTCTTTTAAGTTGTGTGTCTTGATATTTTATAAAACGAACTTAAGATTAAAATTGCGAATTGAATCCATCTTTAAACATATGAAAACTTTATAAAATTAACTAA